GAAACAGAGCAATGAAATTCGCAGAACAATAGAAAAAAGAGAATTGGATGAGTGAGAAAAATTTTTGTTTTGAGATAATTGTAAACTGGAGAGAGACATTTGTTTGGGAAAGGTATTGTTGCAAAATGTGGGTCTTAATGGAGGAAAATAAATAATTAGAATTGGATACATTTAATTTGCTATATAACTAAAATATTGACCTTTTTAATAACTATTTTAAAGTATTGTTGTTTTAAATAAATATGTTAGGGATTTTGACTAGTTAACTAACTTTCTCATTTTTGAAAATTAACTTAAATCTTAAACTTTACCATTTTCTCAAGCCCAACACTTTTTTAGCCTAAGTATTACAATCTCAAATCCAAGTCCATCAAAATCTATTTTAATCTTTACCTTCTTTACTTCACATAAAATAGTCAAACTTTCTCTTGAATGAATCACTTTATCCGTGTAATGATAACTCTAATATTACTTAATTGCTTGATTGAACTGACATTAATTTTTTTGTAGATTGTTCATGTATTTAGTATTTGTGTCTATCGAGATACGTAAGCCCTCAAAAAAATTATTACTTTCAAACAGAATAAATTAGAAAAATTGAACCAAATCGACAATAACCAAACTAATGGATATTTTTTTCGTTTGGTTTGATTTGGTTTTAGAAATTTAAAAAACCGACTAAAGTGGTTTAATTTTAGTTTTAATATAACCGATTCAAATCGAATCACGAACACCCCTACACTTACTGTAACGTAAATCTGCCCCCGCTTATATTGTAAATAATATATATTATAACAATACTATATTTATTCAACCTTAAATTACTATATTACAAAAGTTTTGTGTTTTTTCATATAAATATTTTGGGGACAATGAAGGGCCACAACTACAACTACAACTACAAGTAAAATGAGAAAAGTTGTTTGTAGGCCCATGTTGAAAGAGGAATGGTCACTTACTGTTATTTTGTGTCTCTTGGAATAACTATTGGGCCCATTTCCATGCTATATGGCCCACAAATACATATGGGCTATGACGCTACATAAGTGGACTTCACACTACTTGATAACTCCATTTGCCTTACTCTGGTGATGGCCCACAAAAAATAATAAATATATAATAAAAGGAGTCCGCATTTCTTTTATAAAAAATAAATTTTGTGTTTATGTATTTTCAAATACAAATAATTTTATAAAGATTCATTAGTCAATAATACTATTAACTAGTTATTTTAGAAGATAATGTTTTCACATAGTACGTATAGTTTCGTCACGCTGAACATGATGTTATATATATATATATACATACATACATATATATATATATGTGTGTGTGATTTTTATTTTTTAAAAAATAAAACAATTCGAAATCTCAGATCATAGTACTTTTTAGAATATGAAATTATGATCTCAAATCACATGTTCAAACATTAATATAAAATCATGATTCAAATACGAATACACACATTATATGTTAAAATACAAACTTAGAATTAAAGATAAATGATGCTTACTATATGAACAAACCCTTGTTCCTTTTATAAACAATTATTTGTGTTGTTTAAAAATAGAAAGAAGAATATTTGCGGTCACGAACCTTCAAATACTCGTAATTTTATAGACAATTATTTGCATATTTTCCACGTAATATGTATATTCTCTTTACGCTGAGCATAATTTTTAAAAAATAATAAAATCTATAATAATGCATCTATTTTTATAAAATATAAATTTATAGGTTAAATTTGCATACAATAAAGTAGTGATTTTGAATCTCGAAATATATTTGTTTGAGAATTTAAGTTTATGATTTCAAATTACATATCTAAACCTCAATATGAAATTGTGATTTAAAATTACAAATAGATAGTATGTGAGCAAATCTTTTTGTCTTTTTAATTGGACTTACTCACTTACCCACCCCTCAAAGTTCTTTAAAATAATTTGGCTTCTACACACTTTCTCAAGAATATATACCCAACTATAAACAATCTAATCATTTTCCTTCTTGATATATTATAACAATTAATGAAAGAAGATTAGGAATAAAAATATTATATAATACATATATAATAAGGTTATGGACACTACCCAAGATTGGCTCAACTACCCCTTGATATGATCTTTTATCATCTTGTAACAAAATAAGCCTTAATTTTCTCAAAGTGACCACTTTTCCTTCATCATATCCCAAAAACAACCAAATTGTCACACATACATCAAATCCACCTATATAATATTTCCTTTGTTTCAATTAACATAATATAAAATCAAATTATTTAGTTCAATTAATATAATATAAGATCAAATTATTTAGTTAAGATCGTGAATTTAGATTTCAAAATTTTAAAATAAAATTTTTATATTAAAAGATTAAATAAAACTATTACAACTCACATTTATTGACAATTTAAAATATTTAATAGATATAAAAAAAATTACAGCCGAAGAAAGACTTGTTTGCGTCTTGAAATTTGAAAAATAACACATAAATTGAGACAGAAGAAGCGATATAACATTTTATCCTATAATATCCGGGTTATATGCTCTTTTACCCCTATTTTATTCTGATTCTATTTTTCCCCTCAAGATAAATAATTTTTTGCGGGATATAAATTTATATTATTACATCATACTATTTATATATTAAATTTATATTATTACATCATAATATTTATGTATTTTGTCCTTAAAGAACTTATGTGAAGCTAGATATAAATTTGATACAGACCAATTTATTTTAAGTTAATAATAATTAAAGACCAGAATAAACCGTGCCATCAAATGATGATATCCATTTTTTTTAAAAAAAATAATCTCGAAAAACAACCACAATCTTCTAAAAAATATTAAATCCAAGTCACTTTCTGGGCCCATGCATAAAACCCACTAACGTACAATATAACATATATACACATAAGATATACACATTTCGTACTTCATCTTGTTCTAACTAATAAACCATTTTTTTGAGTTTTTTTCTCATTTTCTTGATCATGGAGAAGAGTAAATCTTTCCCTTATCACTCTGCATCTTACAAAGAAGCAAGATTTGATTTCGAGGATCGAACGAAATCTTTTAGCTTCAATGGACCCGTGGGGGGAAATTCTGAGACGAAGAGGAGGAAAAGAATAGCTAGTTATAACATGTTTTCCGTTGAAGGTAAAGTTAAAACATCTTTGATGAACAGCTTCAAGTGGATTAAGAGTAAATTCTCCGATAATTATTACGATTAGTGGTGTTTTTAATAAAAGGAAAACTTTTATTTATATTTTTCCCCTTCTTGATTCTCTACTTCTTCTTGATATTGCCATGTAACAAATGGTTTTTTTTTGTATGATGGTTATATGAACATCATATTTGTGTAATGAATGGGAAGAATTAAGTCATGATTATTGTACATATATGTGTTTCTTGTACTCGTTTGGTTAGTTCCAATGAAGTTTAACCACAGCTTGAATTGCTAATTTGTGTTTCTATCTAATCAGTGACAAACTCAAAAAAAATTTAAAAATATTTACGATATACTATTTCTTACATTTCAATTTGTTTGTTTTATTTTTTTTTAGTCGATTACAAAAAGATTTTTTTGATAACTTTGTCATCCTGATTTTTCACGTAACATGTTTAATACCAATTGATTAAGGATAATATGATCTGTTTTACGCATTGTTAGTCTAAAAGTCTTTATTAATTTCTTAATTCCGTGCAAAAATTAAAATCAAACAAACAAAATTAGAGCACAAAAATATATAACTTTTTTTAAAAAAAAATTCATATATATAGAGTTTAATTATTTGGAAATGGACATGTCGATGTCTCCATTGCCCCACTAATGCTTTGAGCATTAACTTGACATTAATGGGATTACGTCTTAATCTTGAAAGAGATTGGAAATTATTAATTTGTTTGTAGCAAGTCAATGGGTGCTTCAATAAATAGAAAAAGAAAAGTAAATATGATCTGTTCTTATATAAATTGAAATAAAAAATTTAAAATTGAAAAAACAAATAAACAAATTACTACTCAGTAATTTAGGTATGGCATAAAATCTTTGCATATTGTATTTTTTTATTTCATCAAGTAATTAATTAAAATAATACACAATCAAAATCAACATTATGTCTGAACCAAATGCACGAGTAAACAATTAAATTAATTTTTTTTAAAAAAAGAGCAACATTTCTAATTAATTAATGGAATGGTTGCATTTTAATCCTTCAATTTTGGTGCTTGTGATATCAAACTCAACATATTAAGTATAATGTTAATAAGCTTTATTTTTTGTTCCTTTATGTAAAAAATATATATTAAAAGTATTTTTAGAATTATAAGACTCTCAAATATTGAATAACAATGGAATAAGTAATGTTTTGATTAATAATTCAATAAGTTTGTAAAAAAAAAAAAGCAAGCAAAAGGAATAGAAAACCTAAGTGCATCAATTAAATTTATTAATTAAAGGTCCAATACAGTTGATCAAAGATCAAAATCAAAATTTACTATTAAGTAATTAACTAGTATCTTCAAAGCTAAATATGTTAGAGATTTTGTGGTCCATTAGATCATGATGATTTCTAAAATCAATGGTTGAGATTGACCTACGATTAAGACTTAATCTATTATCTTCATAATTTTTGGCTGCTTCAGTAATAGAGGCTAATAAAATTGGATAATTTTTAATGTTTTTGAGAGCATTAGGATGTGCCTCAGTTTTAGAAAATTGATTAATGTTTCTAAATTTGAAAAATGGAGTTGGTGATGGAGGAGGACTTTGATTATTATTATTATTAATCATGTTTAAGGAAAATGAATTACTACTAATTTCACCCATATCTTGGCTTTGGTTACTTGACTCCCCTTGCTTTTCCTGTTAAATCAAAATTGAGGAAAATTTAATCAGTTTCAGTTATATATACTGACAATATTATAAAGTAATTTTATTTTGTTATGTTTACTAAAAAAGAGAAATATAAGTAATTACATATAAAAATTAAAAATTAAAACAGATCATCTATTATACTATATCAAGATATAGTAATACAATAAGCATATATGTATTAAATCCAAATGCATGTAATAAATTTGTAATTTTTAGTGTACCGTTTTTTCGATATATGATGTACATGTTGAAATATTAATTAATTCAAATTTAAATAATGTAAAATTTATTAAAGGAAATATTAATTTTCAATTCAAAAGCTCAAAAGAAAAATATATGATTAAAGATAAAAAGATTATATTCCACTTATTATCTTGATGATGATAAAAATGCATATATTATCGAAACCTTACCATATATGAATGATAAATCCAATTATTTTTGGGAATGATTGGTTGATCTCCAAATTTGTTTTGGTAAGTGGAAGTTAATTGCCAACCTCATGTGTGTATGTTATTAATTGGTTGGATGCATGTGGAGGTATTTATGGCATTTTGTGTCCTATTTAGAGTGTTTTTTTTAATATTTTTTTTTATTATTTAAAAGAAGTAGAACTATAGATGAGTTGGAAGTTTAAAAGGAAAAAAAAATTGTCAAAAATTTTAAATGAGTATATTAATTTTTTTTTCTAATTAAAAGGGTAAAATCATTGTTGACTTATCAGCGATTTTATTCATATTTTTTCTTTTTTTATAAAAGAAAATTGCTGCCGATGCAGCGATTTTGACGAATTCTTTTTTAAAAAAATAATTAAAATCGCTGCGATAGCAACATTTTTATGAAAAAACTTTTTTTAAAAAATCACTACGTAGGTAGCAATTTTGTTCTGCCTTTTTTAAAATAAGGCATCTATTAAAGTAATTCTTTTTAATTTTCTGCAAATTATTTGTTTAAAAAAATTTGTATTATATATTGATAATTTTTTTTTATTTGGA